CCAAGCCTGTTTACATACAGATAGGGCAGCACATGCCCATGCCTGTTCTTGACTGAAGATCCAGAACTAAGTGAAAGGGTAACCTATGTTCTGTGCTGGATTTATTCTTTAGTTTATTTAAATTGTTTTTCATACAGTATACTTTGGTCATGTTTCTCCTCATCATCTCCTCCCAGATACTTCCCACTTCCTACCCACACAACTTATTGTTCTTTTTCAACAAAAATAAAACAATAAAAGCACACAAAATTGAAACAAACACACAAAAGACCAATGAGACAAAAAAGCCCCCAAAACCAAAATGAAATAAAAACTCCATAAAACAAACAACAGCACGTCAGACCCCCTCCCACATCTAGAAACAACTTGACTCCCAGGAGGTCTATCACAACCAGGCTCACAGATTAGACTCCCCCATAGCCTAACACCTGGCCTAAATGAAAGCACACGGGGCCCAGCTGATGTAGGACCTATCTGCCCTGACAAATCTTCCTCCTAGTCCACAACAGCGCCCAGTGGGCAGATTGGGTAGCCCCCCCCACACACACCCAGAGACAGCTTGACTCCCAGGAGGTCCATCAAAAGCAGGTGCCCAAGAGAGACAGACTCCAATCAGAGATACCAAGGCCAGTTAACACCAGAGATAACCAGATGATGAGAGGTAAACACAAGAATGTAAGCAACAGAAACCAATGCCACTTGGTGCCATCAGAACCCAGTTCTTCCACCATAGCAAGCCCTGGATACCCTAAAACACCTAAAAAGCAAGATTATGACTTAAAATACCACCTTATGAAGATGATTATAAGTCTATTTAAATTATTTATCTGATCTTGATTTAACCTTGGTAATTGGTATCTATCAATAAAATTAGAAATTCCATTTCTTTTAGATTTTTCCAATTTTATGGAGTACAGGTTTCTAAAGAATGATCTAATGATTCGTTGAATTTCTTGTTGTTATGTCCTTTTTCTTTCTGATTCTGTTAAGTTGGATATTCTCTCTTTGCATTTTAGTTAGTTTGGATAAGGGTTTGTCTAACTGCTGATTTTCTTAAACAATCAACTCTTTGTTTCATTGATTCTTTGTTTCTATTTTATTGATTTTAGCCCTTAGTTTTATTATTTCCTGTTGTCTACTCCTCTTGGGTGTGCTGTCTTCTTTTTGTTCTGAAGCTTTCAGGTATGTTGTTAAGTTGCTAGTAAGAGATCTCTCCTATTGTTTTATGAAGGCACTTAGTGCTATGAACTTTCCTCTTAATACTGCTTTCATTGTATCCCATAAGTTTGGGTATGTTGTGTAGTAATGTTTACTGAACTATAAAAAGTTTTCAAGTTTTTTCTTTATGTCTGTCTTGACCCATTTTTTTTGTATAGTAGAAAATTGTAGTCTTTTTGTTATTTCTGTTGTTGTTGAAATCCAGCTTTCATTCATGGTAGTCTAGTAGGAATCAGGGAGTTATTTCATATATATTTTTTTGTATCTGTTAAAACTTGCTTTGTAACCAAGTATGTGGTAGTTTTGGAGAAAGGTCTGCGAGGTGGTGGTAAGAAGTGTTTGAGTAAATTGTTCTGTAGATAACTGTTAGGTCCATATGGTTTATAAGATCTGTTAGCTCCAAGATTTCTCTATTTAGTTTTGCCTACTGTATATCACCTGCATGCTCATGGCCTGCAGAGACCAGAAGAGGGCATTGGATACCCTGGAACTAGTTGTGATACACCATGTGGATGCGAACTCACGTCCTC